CTAGATGGTATTATCATTTTCTGTCCTTAGGCCATTCCTTCCATCACTTGATATTTTCTTTTCAGAAAGAAGAGAAAGGAAAAAGGAGGGAAAGAGAAGTGGAGAGAGGAGAAAGCAACTTAGACACTGAGAGACTGACTCCTTCTAGGGAAGATGTTGGAATTTGGGGGTTCCCTTGTAAGACTCATTTTTTATAAAATAATGTACCTTGCAATGAGGATATGATGGCCAAAGTTACTGAGCAACTCCCTCTAGTGGGCTGCCTGCCCAGCCTCAGAGCCTGGCACCTGGCATACAATGAGTGCTCAATAAGTGGCAGCCCACATCTGCCCTCCCCCACCTTCCCCAAAGATGCTTTTCTTCTGGACGTCAACAGGAATAGCCCTGTATTAATAGCCGATTGTGGTGCTGGGTGTGGTATCTAAAATAAACATCTTTACAAGCCTCCAGTTAAGATCAACAATTTCTCCCCCTCGCTCACTGCATGCCTCATACTTTGCACAGGTACATTAGTCCATTTTCTGTTGCTTTAACAAAATTGCTGAGGCCAGGTGCTTTATAAAGAAGAGGTTTACTTAGCTCGCTGATCTGGCCATTTGAGAGCTTGGTGCTGATATCTGCTCAGCTCTGGTGAGGGCTTTCTGGCTACCTGACAATATGGTTACATGGCATCATGGTGGAAACACATGGGAGAGGGGAAGATTGCATGGCAGGACAGGAAGCCAGGGAGATTCAGAGGCCAAGAGTGCCCCTTTTATTGCAATCACTCCTGTGGGAAATAACCAGAGTCCCACCAGAACTACATGAATCCCTTCCCAATAGCCTAATCACCTTCCCCCAGGCCCCACCCCTTAATGGTTCCACCACCTCCCAACCCTGCCACACCGGGGCCCAAGACTCCTGCACATGCACCTTTGGGACACACACGCAGTCCATATCCAGACCATAGGAAAGGGCTGGAGTAAAGTGCATTTAGCTCACAAGCTTGAACAGCAACCAAGAGCCCCAGTGCACCCCTCTTGTCTACGGTTGGTTCACCCTTGGCACTGGAGGTCCAAGAAATTCCCAGAGAAGGGACCTCGGTTCAGGACCAGTGGGTAAAAGAATTTCAGGACACAAGTCAGAGACAGAGGTTTATTTAGGGAAGCAGGGACACATTCAAGGGAGAATGCAAGCCATCTCCAGAGAGAGGTACAGCAACCCCCTGATGTGGGCTGTTATATATAGAGGGATGTTTGCTAGGGGCTAGATAGAGCCACATAATTTTACTCCAGTTTTCCCTGCACTTATACATTGCACTCATGTCACCCCAACAGGGGTCAAGGACACAGGCCAGGTTGCTCAGGAGGTGCAATAGCTTGTGGGCACTTCTTTTTTTTTTTTTTTTAGATCCAATCTATCTTTCCTTTTCTGTATCCCCAAATTACTCTTGCCTCCTGAGGGTGCAGAGAGAGAGCAGAGTGGCCCGCTCCTCCTCATCCACTTATTTCTCATCCCCTATTTGAAAACCTGTGACAAGTTCCAATGATATCCACATGCAACAAAGTAGAAACCATAAGTTCCTGTATGTGTTCATATGCAGTGTGGACTTAATACAGTTCTTGCTCAGCAGTGGATTAAAAGTGGGCTTTATTATATAGGCATATTTTCAGAACATTTCAAAAATATTACATCTGTTATTAAAAAAATAGGAAAAATAATTTTCATGACTGATGATTAACTAGCCTTGAGCTCCCCTTGTCCTCTCTGCTCTTGGGTTTGAGGCAGACCTTGGGTTTGAGGCAGACGGGTGGAGTCACGGAGGACTGGGAGCATCAGGCTTCTTTTTTTCATGCTGGTCTCTGAATGCACAGAGCAAGATCACCAGCTGTCACCGATTTTTGTATGGAGTTTCTTCCTATCTTGGACTCCTTGGGCTTCTTAGTGAACCAAGTAAAGAAACACAGGGTATATCAGCACATGTTTCCATGTGTGCTTTATGGTTAATGTAGTCCACCGTAGCACATGACATTCCCTTTGTAAACACCTACAGGGAAAGAGAAGTTGTTCACTGACCACAGAATTGGGGAGTTCAGGACTGGTATGTTTCCATCTAATGAACCATGTGCATCCTTGCTTAGGCTGCCAGGAAGCAAAGAGCTATATTTGGGCACAGGACTTTCTGATGTGAGCTTTGCAGACTAATCTGATGCCTGACAACTTTCCTTTTTACTCCTCCTATCCTTATTTCCCTTTTGCTTTGATTGCTCCTTCCCTCCCTTTCTTCTCTCTCACACACCTTCTTCTCAGTTGTGTGCCATATACATGGTACCTGTTTTTAGTCTTTTTGTTGGTGTTGGGGATTGAACCCATGCTTAACCCCTGAGCCACATCCTCAGCCCTTTTTGAGACGGTCTCGGTAAGTTGTGAGGTTGGCCTCAAACTTGGAATCTTCCTGCCTCGGCCTCTCAGGCCTCTGAGATTCCAGGTGTGCCCTGCTGTACCCGTTTTATAAAACCTCCCAGGTCATTTATGATAAGAGGCAAAGTACCCATCAGTAGAGGGTAAAAGCCACCTTGGCAGAACCTGCTCCTCATCAGGCAGTTTTGGGGAATAGTGTTCCCAAAAGACAGAACCAGGGATTTTTAGTGTATCTTCATTAAGTTGACACTGTACCATGAAGAAGCTCAGCAGATTTAAGGCATTAGTATCATATAGGAATTTGAAGATATCCAGCTCTTTCAAAAAGGATCCCTTGGGGGACTCCTGTCACTTTTCTGAGAGCGTGTTTGTCTCAAACATTCATGTGCATCAGAACCTCCTGCAGGACAATCAATCCTGACTTCTAAAAAAAATCACAGGGAAATCTATCACAGATTCCTGGGTCCCACCTCAGAGATCCTGATTCAGTAGGTCAGGGTGGACTCACGACCTTGACTTTCTAACATGCTGTCAGGATGTGAATGAAGCCCTGGGCCAATCCACAAACTGTGCTTGGAAGAGCTGGGCTCAAAGTGCTGACAAGGGACTTCCTCTGGCCACTAGGTGGTGGTTGAATGTTTAAATGGCCTTTTGTGGAGCTTATCAAAAGCCTTTTCAATATCTTAATCAAATTAAGTCCTCTGGTCTCTAGCTCCTTTCTCTCTCTGCTTGCACAGAGAAGCTACTGATCCAGACTTAGTGACCTTTCCTGCCTTGATTCAGAGTCCACTATTGGGAGTGACTGACGCTGTTCCTCAGCTCCAGGCTGCTGGCTGACTGCAGTCAGCTGAGGCCATTGGACCACAGAAGCCCTAGAGTGCCACTTCCCAGAATCCTGCAGCCAGGGGCCCAGCCCTGACATCTCCGCCTGGCTTTGGGCTTCTCTGCTTGTGCTCACGTGTGAGCACAACCATCACTAGGGCTGAGGAAACATTTGAACTGTTAGCTCCATGTCTCCATACTTATGGTGGGAAAGAGGGTGATATGCTGTATGGGTCTTACCCTGTGCAGAGATTCATTAGTATCTTGGGACTGTGAGTGAGGATAATAAGACAGATGGCTCAGTGACCTAGACCAGCCAGTTCATCGGGTATAGGACCTACTAAGCATTACCTGGCTAGACCTCAGAACCACCCATGAGGTAGGTGGCCCCCCCATCTTTAGATGCAGAAGCCAGCTAGGAAAGGCTAAGCATGCCATTCCAGGGGGCAGAGGCACAATTAAACCCAGGTCCCTCTGGTTCCAAAGTGCACGCTTAGCCACTACACTCTTGCCTTCCATGTCAAGGATTCCATCATGTTTTCAGCCTGTGATTTTTTTTTCCCAGTGGAATTATAGGATTTTTAAAATGTGGTACTTCTAGAAGCAATTCATAAATAGAGGACAACGGGTGTTTAACATTTGGTTTGGGCCTTAAACCTCACAATGTGAAATATTCTGCCCTTTTTCACAGAGCAAGAATTCCAAAAGTCATATTTTGGGGGGGGGGGAAATAAGTAGGAAAGTCTCCCCAAACGGAATGGAAACCTACCTGCCAAGGTGAGGGAACTGCCAGCAGTGCCACTTGGACAGAATGAGGCCAGTGGTGGAGTTAAAAAAATAAATAAATAAATAAATCAACCAAAGCCTCAGGTGCTGGTCATCAGCCTGTCCGTGTGGCATGCCTGACAGGCATCCTGACCTGGCTAATCTTATCCCTGCCTGAAAGGTGTGGTGCCCAAACTGTGGGGAAGACCTGATCCTGCCCGCTCCTGGCTTCCCAATGGGACTGGGCTGCTCTCATGTGAATTCCTTTGCTTTAGACACATAGCTTCCCCTCTCCTGGCCTCAGCACCAAGAGAAGCCCTGCTGCCAGCTTAGTGTATCCTTCCCAGACTCCTCTGGGTTTAAATTTCATTTGTGTTCTTCAGACCATACAGACCCTATTGGAAGCACACTAACTTCACTTACAATATATCATGAACATCTTTTTGCATCATTAACTATTCCGTTTCTAGTGGGCATAGGTTCCTTTGTGCCCTTCTGGTGTTTTAGTTTGAAAAAAAAAAATTTTTTTATAAAAGCTGTCATTTATTTACATATTGAGATCCTTTTTGAGAGGGTCTTGCCAAGTTGCTGAGGCCGGCCTCAAACTTGCATCATTCCTGTCTCAGCCTCCTGAGTTGTTAGGATTAGAGACATGTACCACCATACCCCGTAGAAGCTATATTTTCTTAAAAAAAAAAAATTGATCAGTCACATTACAAAGGTGAAATAAGTAGTTCTTGGGTTGAAACGGTGGAATTGTTCTGGTGTCTTTGAATCATACCAAATCTTTTGGGGAGATTGTTGAAAATCCAGAAGGCACCGAATGGAGGCACTGTGGCCCTGCACTGGGTGCTAGTTATGGAGTGTGGGGGCAAAAAGCGAGTTTGGGAGGGGGTTCCCCAAGGTGGGGACAGGAAGTCCCAGCTATAAGGGTCTTCACCTTCCTTGACTGGTGGGGTGCAAGTACCATCTGTGCCCAGATCTGAGCCCAGTGTGTCTTCTCTCCCCAGCAGATCCGCCTGTGGCCGCAGCAGTGGTGTCACATTTTAATGAATGCCCAGATTCCCACACTCAGTTCTGCTTTCATGGAACCTGCAGGTTTTTGGTGCAGGAGGATAAGCCAGCATGTGTGTAAGTATCCCTAGCCCCCTGGGGTGGTCCTGCACTCGTTTAAAAGAGCATTTGCCTCTGCAAGGTTTGCCAGAAGCTCCTGAAAAACCCTGAAGTTGGGCTCAGGTTCAGAGCCTCAGGCCACTTGCTTCAGAACCAGGTGGCTAAAAACCCAGGTTTCAGAGCCCCTGGGGCAGAACCCCTGGGGAGGTTAGAGCCTGGCGGCTGCATTTTAAACAAACATCTCAAGTGACTTTTGGATTCATCAAAGTTGAGAAAATTACTGAATTAAAGTTTAATCAACTCTTCATGGAGGGCAAGGCCCTGGGATGGGTACCTTTGAGTGGCCAGAGGTGTCGAGGACTCTGCATTCTAGTCTCTCTTCAGTCCGAAATAAGCTGGAAGTGCAGGCAAACGATTAATGTACATAAAGGTGCATCATGGCTTCCACACCTGGTCAACCTCCCCACAGTACTGCTGAGCCCCATCCTGACTTCCTGCATCAGAATCTCCAGGGGTGGAACCCAGGAATCACATTAGTAAGGAGCAACCTGTGATTGCTGTGGTCAGCCAGGTGGGGTAAGAAGGGGACTTGAGGAAAGTTTCCTTGGGCAAGTGGAGGCTGCTCCAGGCCGGAGTGTCAAGAGGGTGGCACCTGCTGTTACAGGTCAGAAGCTACAACAGGATGAGATGGGAGGAGGCAAAGTTGGAGGCCAGAGCCTGTTGGAAGTGAGCCTTTGGCCTCCAGGCAGTAGGAGCCATGTAAGTTTTGAAGAGAGACGTTTTAAGACTGTCTCTAGTTATCTACAATTAGGTGAACCTATATTTAACCTTGGCACTGTTGACATTCGGAGCCAGATAATTTGTTGTTTGGGGCTGAACTGTGCCTTGAAGGACATTTGCCAGCTTCTACCCACCTTAGTGTCTCTACAGACATTGCCAAATGTCCCTGGGGGGCTAATAAGTAGTTCGATGTGAAATTGACATATTCATTGGGCAAAAATGGCCCAGGGCCAGCAATTTCATACAGTCCAACCTAATAGTACAAAATAATGCAAAAATTTAAAAACCAGCATTTAGTAAGCTGTTACTTTATGCCAGGCACCATTTCAAGCACAATCCATTGTTAACTCATGGAATCCTCATGAAGACTCCACAAGGTGGGCACAGAGAGGTTGTGCCCCAGTCTCATAGCTTAGATTCAATGGCTCTTAAAACCCAGTCCTTTGGCAGGGTACTTCAGGGCATTAATTGCAACTAGCCTGGGAGGGACCTGGCCAGGAGAGCCTGCTACAGGCCGATGTGGTGGGAGGGTTTTCAGTCCAGTCTGGGTTCAACCTTGTCCATGTTCACCATCTCTGAGCCTCACAGAGAGGAGACACACAAGGTGGCAACCTTTCTGCTAGGAATGTTTTTAGCTCTAAGAATCTGCCCCAGATGAGAGCCCTCCCCACCTAGTAAAGTGGAGCACAATGAGGTTGATAGGAGGCACTGTCATTACTCATGATTATCATTCTTATAAAAACAAGCCCCTAATGTGCATTTTAATTAGTAGTCAGGTCACTGGAAAAACACTGGCACTGAAGGGAGTTTGACCACAGCTCTGGAAGCCTGTCTATAACAGCTAGAAGCCTCCCTTCCAGAGCCCAGCATGGGCCTCCATGTGCCCCGGCCGAGTTGGTAGGATCCGCTTTGGAGACAAAAGACAAGTCTCTACCAAGTTCAGATCAGAGGCTAGTGCAGACTTCTGGTGGCCACCAAGCAAGCCAATCAGTAACTATCTGTGGCTGAAGTGTTTTGTTTTTTGTTTTTTTTGAGAGGGGAGGTTTGCTGTTCTCCCTTATCTGGATCCCAAGTCCAGCTTTTGGCTCAAGAAAGACGACTGCCCATCCCATTCAAATAAGTATGTCTACTAAGAATAAACTCTCAGTAAAAGCTGTAGCTTAGGTCAGGGATGATACCTAGCACTCCACATTGAGCCTCTCATAGATTCTCACCATGTCCTTCTCCACTAAAAATTATTGTAGACGTGGGGAAACTGAAGCTCAGAAAAGGTAAGAAACTTGCCCAGAGTTGGTAGCTGGCAGAGGTGGGATTCACCCTAATTATTCAAGCTCCTGCCCACAGGGCACTCTGCCTCAGCTCGAAAAATCCACATCAAATCACTAAGCATTTTTGTTTCCAAGGAACGTGTTGACTTCTCCCCTTGCAGATAAAGCTGCTTCCAGAGAAGGTCAGGTTCATTCCCAAGCTCTTCTGACCAGACTTTTTAACAAGTCCTTCCTAAGAACATGAGACAGCCAAGGTACCTGGCAATTGGGCAGAGCTGGCTGCACCAACCCTTCCCACCTCCTGACCTCAGTTTCCGCTCTGGACTTTGGCAGCCTGCAGGCAGTATTCAGTCCACAAAGACTATGTGGCTCCACTTCCTTTTTTGGTGGCTTTATTGGATTGGCAGTGTTTTAGAAGTCAGGTTCTGCATTTCCTGGCAGATGCCCAATTTCTCTTGAAGAAAGGCAGCCCTGGGCTGAGACTCAGACATACCCCCAGCCAGGCTTGCTCTCTGCAATTCTGATTCCCACCTCTCTGAGGAATACTCCAACACCAAAGCACGGTGTCAGTCCCCATCTTCTGCTTCCCCTAGCCCACTGCACTCCCCTCAGTCACCCACCTGAGCCCAGGGCTGAGAGTGTTCAACCCCTAGACAGGACCTGAAATCAGGCCCTTCTGACCTAGCAGGGGGATGTATGGTCCCACCTACACAGCATGCTCAGGGTGCCCAGCGCCAGAGCTGTCTCTGGAGGACAGGACCACACCTTATACCTTTTTATATTTACAGTCCTCAGAAGAATGTTCTAACTACTTAATTCCCACTAGACCAGAAACTGTGTCCGTGCAGAGAAAGCCAGAACATTCTGTCTCTGCTTCTAAGAACCGCCCCAGCTTTGGGGAGCTGACACATACAGCATTCTGGTCAATAAAACTGACATACCTTGAGGTATGGCCCCATCTGTCACAGCATTATAAAGAACCCACAGTGAGCCAAGAAGATGGTTTCAAAATATACATTTTTAGACTTTGTCTTCTAATAAGAAGTCCTTAAGTTTCCAGAAAAACCTAAAAATAACATCTTGTACTGTAAGATGAGAGAATGAAAAAAAATAGTCAAAAGTGGCCAAAGGTAGTGAAAAATCATCCTCAAACATTTATGCTTCACCTGAGCCCCGGCTTGTTCGTCTGCACATTTATGGCTCCCTTTGCCCATCTGCTTGCTGAAGTTCTTCTGTCCTAGTGGAGACTTAGCAGAAAATGTGCAGAGACAGTGAAGCTATAGACATGGGTGGTTAGGCACCACTTTTCCCTGAGGCGGATTCCTCAAACTATTGGACTGCTGCCTGTGAAAGCCTTCAAACAAAAGAAAACAGTCAGCGGAAGCCACCCCAGTGACAAGTTTAAGGGTTCTAGTGTTGGCAACCAGAGGCAGCTAGCTCAGAGTTTCTCACCTGTACCAAATGCTCCAGCCCCCAAACTCCCTGACAACTTTCCCACAGCGAAGTGTGAAAACAAACCACTGCTAGCCAAGGAAAACATTCCACAGCACATTCCAGTGAATCGGAATAGTTGAACTTCCAGAGATGTTGATAGCCATTGATGCACCAGCAGGCTGCCCATGACTAATGGCCCACCTCCCCGGAGATAGTGACCGTGTGCCTGTTGGTACATGAGCTGTTTGATGTAGGTCTATTATCTTCTCACCTAGCCAAGGGGCAGGGGTTAATCAGTAGGGTGTCCCTCTCATCCACAGATCTGGAGAAAGTGCCTATCCCCATCTCCACCTGTACCAGGTAGGGTCACACTAGGCACCCTAATGAAGTCAAAGGAATGGATGTGGAGGTCAGACACTCCCAAGTTAAAATCCAGCTGAGTTCTCAGACAAGGGACCTAGCCCTAGTAAGCCTGAATTTGTTTATTTATAAAATGGGGTTGCTAATACTTCATGGGTTCATAATGAGGACTCGGTGACAGTAATTATCAAAAGTAAATGCTGTCCAAGACGAGAGCCACTAGACATGTGGGGCTATTTAAATTAATTGACTTAATTAGAATTTAGTTTCTCCGTCACACTAGCCAGTGGCTACTGCATTAGACGCACCGGATAAAGACATTTCTGTCATCATTATAAAAACTCTAGAGGACAGCATAAGGGACCAAGCAAGCCTGTTTCCTAGCAAACAGTTGAACTCTTATACTGTGCTATCAGCTGCCCTAGGCACTATTACCACATCTCAGGGATATTGTAAGGTCCTGCTCAAAGGAGTAGAAAACATGTAGGCATCCCACACAACCCTTGGATCAGAGCTGCAAAGGCAGATTCAGCATCCTCCCAGCCCTGGAGTGGAGAGAGGGTAGGACTTGGCAAATCCTAATACACAGGCCACTGGACCCAGTATACCCACTCCTCCCCCTGCCCTGTGGGATTTCTCCATGTTAAAGGCAAATTAATGTAAAACATTTCTAAACCATTTCAACTTGGTCCTGGACTTTCACATCCAAGACTTTATCTTGAGACCTAAAAAATGTTCCCATTCTTTTATTGATGTTTTTAGCACTTGTAAAGTGCAATAAACAGTGCCCAACTCATTTAACTTTCATAACTCTTTGAGATAGGTCTTATTACTTTTGCATTTTAAAGACGCAATCAATCTGTGAACCAAGGAAATTAACTAACTCCTTCAAGGTCACACAGGCAATAAGTAGGGAAAGGGCTCAGAACCCATGACAATTTGGCTGCAGAGTCTGTGCCATGTTGTACCTACCTTTGGGATCCCGTCCTGAGGACATAATCTCAAATGCAAACAAAGATGTGTGCACAAAGATAATCACCTGGCATTAGTTGTGGTATCATAGTTGGATGGAGTCTGAGTGATTAGAGTTTGAAGAAGCAAACTACACATATAAAGTATCACGCTGGCATTTTAAACGATTTTTGCACTGTTTGGTAATGATGGTAAAATGGTGCAGGGATGTTAAATGAGAAATTTATGCTTAAAATGACAGAAATAGGATAAAAGGAAACGTGGCTTGGGCTGTCATGAGTGGGGTTAGGGCTGCATTTCTTTCTGCTTCGTTATAGTTCTGTGCTTTCCGATTTGCTTGGAAATGTTCCTTTTCTGGTTGAGGAAAATTTTTCTTAAATCTTCAAGAACACAGTTCTACATGTATTTTCAAATCTCTCAACATTTTAAAAGCATACCATGAACCAGGTAGAAAGGGAAGATCCAAAATGTCTTAGCAGAGGGAAAAAGAAAGGTATTTCTTTGCCTACAGCCACAATGTTTGCTCCTACAAAAAGCACCAAAGCAACCTTCAGACTTCATCAGCAACAGAAACAAAAAGCCCCAGGAACCCACCTGTCTGGATCCTCTTGCTGCTCTGATGTGCTCCTGGCCCCTCCTCAGCTGTGCCCTTTCCTTTTTCTCTTGCACTTGACTTTATTTTTGCTCTTTTTATGGGAACATAGCTTCAATATGATTCTGGTGCATCATTTTCAGAATTATGAAAACAAACCAGCTTTCTAGAACCTTGTGTTTGACCAACGACCAAGACAGGAGAGAGAGAATGGTCAAGTGGCATAAGATGTTCAGTTACACATCTCCCATTTACCTCTGTCAGATAATTCCTCAGATTATGTTCTGAGGAGTTTTGTTCAGATTATTTTCTTAAATTGGGGTGATGCAACTGCTCCTATTTCCCCAGCATCTGCTATGAGGGAGCCCATTGTACAGCTGCCACCCTAGGAAAATGCTCAGAGGCAAGGGAGAAAGGGAAACGGGCAGATGAACTTGTTGGTTCTCAATTCCGTGCACTTAAATGGTAGTTTTACCTCAGTGGGTCTCAGGCCTTGGTGCCCAGACCAATTGAAGGAGCGTCTCCAGGGGTGTGGCCTTGTCCTGGTTTTCCTGAGCTTCCCAGATGATTCTCATGTGCAGCCAGATGGGAACCAGTATATGCCTGGGGTAAAGGAGAGGACAGCAGCTGAGTCAAGCATGAGTCATTTACAGCTCAGTGAAGTGACTGTCCCTCCTAGTGTGACTTATGCCGAAAATCATCAGCATAAATTTAAGTCTAAATATGTTTTCCAAACTGTTTCTTAAAAAAAAAAGTGGTGGTGGGGGGAGGTGTTATTAAACCTTTTTTTCTTATCCTCCTCACCAAGAGAATCTGAGAAGCAGGGCACTTTGTAGTACCAGGCCCTGCCCCACAGGAGCAAGGAGGTTGGGAAGAGCCACTAAAGGAGGGGTAGGAAAATGGACAGATGAGGGACTGAGCCAATGAATGTGTCTAAATTATATGTTTTTGGAGAATGTGGTCTTTGAGTTGGAGTCTGAGGAAGAGAGCGAAGAAGAATATTCCAGGCCAGGAGGAGTTAGCACTGACAAATAGAGGGCAGCCCTTCATTCATTCTGCAGCTGCATCCCAAGTGCCCAGGTGCCAATCACTCTGCTGGGTGCAGGGCATATATTTAAAAGTGGGCCTGTGGGGTAGATTAGGATCCTGGCATGGTTGGAGCACCAAACATCAAATAGAGGAAGCCCACAATGCAGAGGGCCTCTCTGGAAGATAGGAAGCCACAGGATAAAAACTTGATTACAGGATAGAGGAGGGACCTTTGCCCAGTTTTCTTTAGACACTGACAGCTCAGATGTCAGCTCTGCCTGAGCCAGTCACCTCCCAGCCTTGAGTCCCCTGTCACTTTTGTCTTTGCATCATTTTGTTAAAAATCAAACAAAATCCACCTCTGTCCCACTACCCCAAACCCTGAGAGTATTCTTAACAAGATTTCTGTGATCCCGACCCTTTTCCAAGAGAAGTCATTAGAGATCCCTCCACCATCCAGGGTCTGCACTCCCCTCCCTGGTCTGTAGAGAGCCCGACAGGGCATTTCCCATCCTAGGGGCCCTCCTCAGCCTCCCCCTTTACCAAACACTGCAGACCCTTTGCACCTTGCTAAATTAGAACTCTAAAATGTTCTTTTACCTGTTCAAGATTATAAGGCTAAGCCAAAAGCCAGACCTGTGATAACTCTTGACATTCTCACCCCAGTCTCTTATAGGCAAAGCTGCATGGTACATGAGAGCACCCAAACTCAGGTCAATAGACCTGGGTACAAACTCCTCTGATATCCCTAGCAGGGCAGGTGCAAGAAAGGCAAATACAGAATTAAATATGCAAACAAAACAAAAGCACAATGCTTAAATTTAAACCAACGACTACCTTTAAATAAGTTACAGAAACCTTTATGCCCTGGCACCCCAAGCTGAAGCCTTCAGTAGCAACTTTTTCAACATCTTTTGTTTTTCATAAATCTTAAGCTCATATAATACCTATTCTTTCAACATTAAAATGCTTCAACTTTTGTTAAATTGGGCAAAAATCTGTGCTCCAGGGAAACATACCATGTTTATCCTGTGACTCCAAGTACCTTTCTGGCCTGGCTGCCCAGGAGCACTGAAGTAATAAGGGAATCACAAGTGTAATGGCCCTGGGACCAGCCTGGGACCAGCCTGGAACCATGGCAGGTGCCCTGAGACTGTAAGGAACAAGGAAAGGTTACAGGCTAATCAAAAAGCAGACTTTAAAAAAAAAAAGATTCAGCTATTATTGTCATATCTGGATGGAGCAAAACAAACTTTATATCCAGCATGTGATGCAGGGCTACCCTTCAAAAAAGTCCCCTATGGGAAGAAAGTTCCCCCCCCCAACTCCAATCAAGATGGTGGTTCAGATATTTTCACTGACAATAAAAAAGGTACCAGTGTGTGAGCCAAGTCCTCTATTGAGAGGAATGATGCTTGGGGAAGGGGAGAATACCTGTAAAAGAAGATGACCAAGATTTCCTTGTGGCTAGAGCACATCCTAGAGAACCAGGGATGAGATGAGATCTACTTGTGCAAGGCAGGAGGTTGTTATTGTCATGATCAAAGACAGAGAAACTCAGAAGAGTATCAACAGCAGGAACACACCACCATGAGTGCACACGTTCATGAGGGCACCAGTAAGTTCACATGTGACCTCCTGGCACCCTGATCCTATAGTGGACGTAGGCCAGGTATTGTTGGTCATGAGGACACCAGGGTTCACCACAAGGCTGGCAACTTCAGTCAGTCCTACAGTGACCAGGTAGTGGTGCTAGGTTCCCCCTGTACACGGGGCCACCCAGCAAGTAAGTACTTGTAGGACTAAATCAACTTAAAAAGGCTAAGCACAGCCTATGTCTCCTTTAATGTATTTTCTTGCTCTCATCTGAAATTCTGAATAAACATTTGGTTTAAAAATAACCTGGATTTTTATGAACTGCTAAAATGAAGTTCTTGGAATAAAGGCAGCAAATGTGTTTATGACAAGATTTAGCACAGTAACAATTATGTAGTGCTTTAGCGGTACCTCTCCTGCTCAGGAATAAGAATCAGTCCCCCCACTCCTAGAACGCAGTGCCGGTGGCAGGGACACCATTGTCCCATAGCAAAGGCTGGAAGGCCCCTTGTGCTTTTCCTATGGGTTCTAGGTCACTTCAGCCCAGCCCTCCCTGAACACTGGGGAACAAGACCTTCTATCAGGAGCGTGCTGATGTTCCTTTCTTCCACAGCTGCCATTCTGGGTACGTGGGCGCACGCTGTGAGCACGCAGACCTCCTGGCCGTGGTGGCTGCCAGCCAGAAGAAGCAAGCTATCACTGCGTTGGTGGTGGTCTCCATTGTGGCCCTGGCTGTCCTCATCATTGCATGTGTGCTGATACAGTGAGTAGTTGCTGCTCCCAAGTCAGGTCCCTTGCCCTACCAGGGACCTCTGCTCCCTGGCCACTTAACAGGGCCACCTCAGCAAAGCTAAGAGGAACTATGATGACTTTTGGCACAGCATGGCAGCCAAGCTGTGTAAGAGCCTGGCGCATCCTGGGAGGGGCCCCTGTGGTGGGTCTGTATGTTGCTCAAAGCCAATGTCCAGGCACACTCCCTCTCCACTGTTGGGGTACAGCCTTGAGGATAGTGATGAGATAGACAAGTGCCCCAGAGAGAACTGGAAACAGCTCCCCAACTTCTCTGGGCAATAGAAGCAGCACTTTCTCTCTGCAGAAGGCACTTTGCCAATTCCAAAGTCCCATTAAAGGCCATTGTCACCATTTTTACATGCTGATGACCTGCACAGCCTCCCCTTTTTCCCACCACTCTGCCTTCTTCATCCTCCAAAGTCCAGTTTCTGTGTTAGAGTTCTATCCTCCAGCTATTCTGAGCCCTAGACTCAGAAACCCTTTTCACGAGCATCTTGGCCTCATTTGCTTGCTCTACCCAAGGAACTGCTCTCCAGATTCAGAGACCCTGGGAATACCCTCTGCTGTATTCCCAGCACTAGGCTGGATTTCCTACCTGGAAATATCTGAAGTCTGAGTCAGAGAGCAAGAACTCTGAGGAGTTCTCAGAAGGAATTCTCAGGTCAGCACAGTGCTGTTTGAGTCATGGTGGAGACAGACAGTGGCAAAGCTGGAGTATACACACACACAGCTACATGTTAATGCAGGAAGCCTAGAGGCACCTAGGTTGCACTCAAAAACAGGCTCCGTCCTGTTGGTTTGTTGGTCCAGTACTATCCCGTCAGCTGAAGCTCATGCCTCTAGTTCCTGACAACAAATGAGGAGCCTCTTAGAGCCCCAGCTTTTGGCAGTAGCCACGGCCTGTTCACACATTTCCCCTGGGCCAAGTCAGCACTAAGTGAGGGAGGATAGAGTCGGCACTGAGGTGGCCTTTCCTTCCTCCCTAGGCAGAATCCATTCCCCTCGCAGGCATCCTGGGAAAGCACAGTTGTGGGGAATAGACAAGAAGCGTTGATTTGGGTGGGGCACATCCCAGACTGTCAACTCAAGACCCTTCCAGGGGAGCATCGCCAGCTAGCTATTTCTGTAGCCAAGAGGGTTATTATCCTTATGAACAAGATTAAGAACCCCTGTGGGTCTTTCCAGAGGGACTTAAAAACTAACTTTTTCAGATTCTGTGGGGACAAGAAAAATCTAGATGCCTGGATACCATCTTTTATTCCACAGAAGTGGCCAGTCCCACTTCTTTGCTGTCCCTGTCCCTACTAGAGACTAAGCTTCTGGTTGCCTGGACAGAGGGTATTACTGAGTCACACAGTCCAGGCTGAGACCAGCTCCTCCCATGCTAGAGGGCTCTAGATGCCTTGATTCCATTGCCCTGGGACACCTTAGCTGGGAAATGACCAGGGCAAGTCTGCCTGGCTTAGACCTAGAATCAAGGGCCTTAAACTCTTTCCTACATGGAATGAGCTGGTTACAGCCCAGACTCTGTAGCTCAGGAGGGCCTCCGGCCCCACACTACACTGACCTCTCATTTTCCATCTGTGACAGAAGCAGCTTAGGCAGAAAGGTCTCAGGGGCCCTTGTCAGCACTGCTGCCCAAAGTTTCATGGGCTTAGTAACTTTCCTAGCTTCATATTCCAGGGCAGGGCAGAGAGGGGCTGGAGTGGGGTTCTGAAAATACCATCTGGCAGTAAGAGACACAGCCACTGGCTTGTTTCAGCATCTGCTTTTGGGCTCACATCAGTTTGGATACTTCCCCCAGCCCATGTACATTAATTATATAGACATTAAGATTATAATGAGTGGGAATGGAGCCTTCCTTGTAGCCCAAGGAAAACAGCTGACAATGTCTCTAGGTAATTTTGTTTTTCCCCGGTGGTGCTGGGGATGGAACCCAGAGCTAGGAGGTGGTAATGAATGTCCTGGTGCTTTCCTCCCTGCTCCTGTTCCAGGCTCCTTAGTTCTTTGGGCTTGCTAACTCTGGAAACTGCTCATTCCTGCACACAGAGGGAGATAGGAGCCTTCTTAACCCTTATGCTTCCAGACTCTGGGTAACACAGGTTTACAGAGAAGTTGGATTTTCCAATACGAGAGAATTTTGGTCCTCAGAGGAGGATTCAAAGCCACTGAGATCCATGACTCATTCTTTCTTTCCATGGGCCAACTCGGCCCATCCAAGTTTCCTGCTTCACTCATGGAAATGCCTGGTGAATGACCGCCCCCCGAATCCTCGCAGCCTTGCCAGCCTGAGGGTGGCGACTGAGCGCAAGCCTAATGGCCATTCCACTACATTCATGGAGTTTCTCAACTGGTTCTTTATGGAGAAAGGTGCTGGGTGGCTGGTCACCCCCCTCTGACAACCATGTAGCCAGGCGAGTCCAGAGCTTCAGAAATGGTGCTGGTCTTTTGTTGTGGGCCAGCATCAGGTCCAAAGGCCACCAGTCTTCAAGGGCTCCTAGCTCCCTCTCATTCCTGAACTTCTAGGGGAGGCTAGTTGAGACTCAGAGCTGCCTGGCCAGGCCTCCCACTGAGCTCCAGTTTACACCATCTTCTCTCCTCCTTTGCAGCTGTTGCCAGGTCCGAAAACACTGTGAGTGGTGCCGCACCCTCATCTGCCGGCACGAGAAGCCCAGTGCCCTCCTGAAGGGAAGGACTGCTTGCTGCCACTCAGAAACAGGTAGAGGGCTGCATGGGGGATTTAGGAGGCACTCCTGGGTGGGAAGAAATGACCACCTTCTCCAGGTTGGTGCAGAAGTCCGAGGAGGAAGAAGCAGGAAGGGGGGAGGCTATTTTATTCTATTAAGTCAGTTTGGGTTCATTCCAAGGTGTGTCTGACTTAGAAAGGAGTTCTTTCATCTTATTGGTGACTGTGTGATGTTCAACAAGTCAATATTAGAGAGCCTTTTTGTGTCTTAAGATGCTGCTGTATAAATCAGATGAGTACCGACACAAAGCACATAATTAGCGTATACCAAATTATAGATTGGCCAGTGAAAGTTCTCTAAGGACCTTCACACTCTTAGACCTAGTGCTCCCCGTTAAACTTAACATTGTCTTATGGTTTTCATCAACATCCATGAAGATTGGATGTCTGGATATGAGGCCAATAGGCTGCTCAGGACCCCTGGAGTCAAAACTTTATCCAGACCCTATGAAAATTCTCACCCCCATCAACAGCCTTTCCAGAGATGCTATGTCATCCGAGTCCCTCATAACAAAATTCCTTTTGAAGAAGTAATGGGGTTAGGAGACAACTGCTGAAGGCCAATCCACCAGGGATGTGTAGGAAACAGTTGGCATTTCAGATGCTCCGGTTGCACAGAGAGGGCAGGGAGAAAAAGGCAGATACTAATGTGTTCATTAAACCTCATGGCAATCTGTTGTGGAGGGAGTTGGAGGACCAGTAGCCTTGTTTGCCTGGTTTTTATTTCAATAACCTTAGTAATTGTCGAAGAGAAGTACTTAAGAGCTGTGCACTTCCTAAATCTTAAGAACATTCTAAGGATTAATGGATGGATGTCCTCAAGAGAATATGCAATGCAATGGCTAAACTGGGTCCCCTGAGGTCCTTTTGGGTCCCACAAAATTAAAGTAGAAAATTGAAGATGAGGACCAGGGCTTTTGAAGTCCCTCTTCCACTACCTTGAGGGACCATCCATGGAGTTAATGAAGGTAGATATTCTTTTCTTATAACACCAATATAAAAATGTTTAAACATTTTAAGAAAACATGATTTATAGCATTTGTCTGACTCTCAGAAGTCATATGGGGTAGAGTAAGTTTCTTCTTAGTGTCACTTTTCTTCCCACCTTTGAAAGTAAGCTTTGAGCCAGGAATGGATCTGGCTTTTCAGAGATGGCCACTGAGGGTGAAACCCCTCTCCCCGCCCGAGATGACCCATGCCACCAGCCAGCTGGGCCTAAAGGATGGGTGAATTGGGGGTACTACACACAAACCCTGTTGAAGATGTGATTCACCCTGAACCAGGGCACTCCCCTCCACACATCCAGAGGAACCACCAGACGAATCAGGGCAGGTAGCTAACCAGGCTGAGCTGGATTCAGGAGCTGAGGACTATGTCAACCACAGAAGAAACCCTTAGGGAGCATCTACTAGAAAATAATGAGTCCTTTTTTTTTGGGGGGGGGGGTACCGGGGATTGAACTCAGGGCACTTAACCACTGAGCCACATCCCCAGCCCCATCTTGTATTTTATTTAGAGACAGGGTCTCACCTAGTTGCTTAGCGCCTCACTGTTGCTGAGACTGGCTTTGAACTCGGGATCCTCCCACCTCAACCTCCTGAGCCACTGCACCCGGCAATGGGTCCATTTTTGTATGGTCTTAGGGGGATGGCATTTTACACTAAGCTGTATGGGCTGCCCACCAAGCCACCACTCAGAGGAACAAGCTAGGTTGAATTGAGTCACTAAGGAGAGGGTCCATTCACCTTCCCACCTCCCTTCTCTTCTGCCACAACTCATTTCACTTTGTCACCCTTTCTGACTTCCTTTGGCATTGAAAGCACAATTTCAGAAATTGCTCCCCTGAGGTTGAGACAGCAGGATTGAGACTCTGCCTAACTGCTCAAGAGAACCTGGTGACATTAGCTAATGCCATCTCCAAGTCTCCCTCCCAGCTTGGCTTGGGTCTGGCCCACAGCATATTAACCTGTTTTTCCTTCCTGCCAGTGGTCTGAGGAGCCCCAAGGAGGAGTTTGGCCAGGTAGACTGTGGCAGCCTGATGGAGAGAAGCCTCCTATAGGTCAGCAGCACCAGGGATGCCTGGGATTTGCCAGAAGACCTTTCCTACTTTGCCTGTGATCACCTGTGCAGCCTTTCATCTTCTGTGGGCCTTCAAAACTCTCTCGAACTGTCTGCTTGGACTTGGTATGCTCTGGAAAAGAAATCAGTGGATCACAATTTAAAGACTAGTTAAGTGATAACGGGAAAGGAGTGGCCTTCCCGTTTACCTACATCGGGTGTAAACAGCGGTCACTGACTCCAGATGTGTGCAACAGTCTCCCGCCAGTCATGGATTCCAGGCTGTATTTCTTCTTAATGGGCTACCTCCCCTCAACAGAATCCTGCCCAATACTGGAGATTCTATTGTTGTTATTGTTTTCTCACATGGCTTAGAAAGTGGTGAAGAGGAAATGGCTTATTGTTACATGAAGACAAGTTTAAGAAAATGCATGTCCTCTGCCCACAAGGCCCTCAACCAGCCTGACACCTGCCATGCACACGTGATGTTGAAGACCTTCCCATACTGTTGCCACCCTTGGAGATAATTTCATATTTATTAGATGGATAATGATTTTTAATTTCTTAAGTCAATGTAAAAGAGCATAAACCCCTCCAGAGGAATTAATGATGTATGTATTGCTGACTGATAAGTTAGACTTACTAGAAATGTCTGGCCTCTTTGAGACAGCTAAGTCTCGGGGAAAGCCTCCCAAAGGGCTGTGGGGATGGAACCAGAGGACAGGGTTCTGACAGAAGCAAAAATTGGGGCTCAGAGTTCATAATATCTAAAGACACAAAATGGGTAAATGCCCCGGGGTACATTCTGGTAGAAAAGTTAGCAAATCTAGCAGCAAGGACCTGTCCCCTATGTTGTGGAGAGAGAACAGGAGGGCCTGTGTGTGTACACAGAGTAAATACAACCTCTACTGTCTGGTAATGCATCAGCTTCCTCATGAGCCCAGCTTGGGCATTAGCAAGCCATGGGCATTTCAGGCTGAATCCATGAAAGGGGACCAGTCCTTTATTTTCCATGTTGTGCTTGGTTGGTTTGTTGCTTTATGTTTAAGAGAAGAAGTTTAACTTTCCTATTTATTTTTAAGCTTTAGGAGAAACATCCTATTGGTTTTTCCTTTCCCTTCCATTCAGAATGCCAGTTTTATTAACTAAAATACTAAGAAGTCTCTCACTTTCTGCTCAAGAGGAGGCAAAATTGTCCTCCCGAGACTTGATGACATTATGACCCACCGGTCCAGCGTGAGTCCCTTCAAACTGACAAAATTGGAAACAGAATAGCAATGAAATCATATATGAACTCCTATGCAAGGAAACTCCTACGATGAAAAGGGAAAGACTCCCACCTATTAGCCCTTCAGTGCACCTATCTTGTCACATCGTGAAAGGGACTTTTAACATGTCAAGTTGGTTTGAAGTTTCTATCAGAAAACTACTTCCTTAGTCTATTATTTCTATGATTTTTTTTTTGCAAGACAATGATCCCACCTGTCTTAACTTTGGTTATTTAATGATGTCACACATGAGCAGTAAGTGCCGAAATTGGGTCTGTTCAGAGCTTGCCCCGAACAGCTCCAGGTTTTTTAGTGTTAAAGATAATAGATTCAAATTGTGTTCATTGGGTCAGCCCTACAGCAGCAGATGAGTGGGCCAAGAACTGACTGTAACCTCCTGCTCAGAGACCAATCAACTGACACTGGTTTCTTACTCAGCTTTCTCAACAGACCCTCCTGAAATTCCGAGATCCTGAATTAGACTAAGTAAAGAATGTCACTTTGATGTTAAGACAATCTTTCGTGGCCTATTGGAGACTCTGGGAGGTCTGGCTGCTTTTAAAGAGTATGAACTCATGTGGAAATATTTCTTGGGGCTTTTTTAAAAATTTTTTTTTGCCTAATGGATGGAAGCACCAATATCCAGCCTAAAGACACTATCAGTAATTGGCATCCAAGAGACTTGGCAGAGGTGCGGGGATGGACAGCTGGTGGAAGCAGAGGTTCCCCACAAAGACCTCGGATTTAGCCTCTGTGAATGTTCCAGTTCTCAGGTTCCAGCTGCCAGTGCTTGTTCCTGTGCCTGTCCACTCATATAGTGATGGGGTTCAAATGCACATACCCCTCAGAAGTGCCTTCTGAGTCAGTCCTTTGTAAACCAGCAGGTCTGAAGAGGGTCAGAAGCTGAAGTCAGGTTGAGGCAGGCCTGATCAGACCATTGTCCACACCCTTGATTCTTTGCCAATTTCTCTTTTAGAAGTCAAATGATGACAAATTGTACCTTTTGTACCATTTCCGGGCAATAGTAGTCCCTTGATTAGCTATAAAAATGTTCTCCTCTTAGCATAAAAATGTGTTTAACTTGCCATCTCTGCAGAATTCCTGTTTCCTTGCCCTTCAGAAGGCCAAGTGTTCAAAAGGTAACCATCCCAGAGGCCTGACCTGGTAAGCAGTCACACATCTAGCAGCGAGGAATATAGCTGTTTCTAGTGAGTCAGGAAACCATGAAAAGCCCCCATTAAAAAAAAATTAAAGGCCTGTAAACCTTTACAAAACCTAGATGTACTCTCTGTTCTATAGACTGTAACATTAAATATACTGGCAGGAAACAGTTTCTACTTGGAAAGATACTCAAGCAGTCAGTTCCTATCTGGAAGACAGGGCTCCAGCTAGACACAGGTGGAACTAAGCAAGGGATGGGGTGGCCATTGTCCCAGCAGAAGAGGTGGGCACAAAGACTCTAGGGTGCTTTTTTTCTGAGCAAAGAGGAAGGATTGACATTCATCCAGCCACATTGGTGAGGGAGGAGGATTTATGGTACTGAAACTTCTTGGGAGGGCAGGATGTGCTTAGCAAGTGTGGAAAACAGTCTGATGTCTCCCGGCCAGGTTTTCCAGGACTTGTGAGCCACTGGTTGCTTTTTCCAGGTAATTTGGCAGGGATGGACCAATGATCCCTTAACACTGCTCATGAGGCCCAACCCCTTAGTAGGTTCTGGGATTTCTCTCTCTCCCTATATGTCCAGCCAAGGAGGGAGAATGATCAACCAGCCCAGAACCAAGAGGCACATCAGAGAAACAAGCAAACATGTTCGTTTTTAACGTTCTAACATAAGACCTGTTCTCTCTAGCCATTGATCTTACTTTAGGCTTTCTGAAAAGACCTAGTATTGTGTGTACACACACACACACACACACGAGTACTGAAAAGAAGCCCCTCTTCCTAGTGTAATAATTTACTGAAATGTTCAACTTTTCATTACAACAAACCTGGTGTTTTTTCTTTTTTTTAAGAACTTATTACTCTGACTTCTGTATATGTTGCACTGAAAAGGTTAATATTTAATGTTTTAATTTATTTTGTGTGGTAATTTTGATTCCTGTAATGTGTTAATGTGATTAGCAGCTCTTTTCCTTAATATCTGAATTATACTTAAAGAGTAGGGAGCAATATAAGATATGGTTGTGTTTTTTTCAGGAATATGCATTGTTGTTCAGTTGTACTGTACCTTG